TAATTAAACATTGGTCGTGTATTTTATCATGGTATCTAGGGGCTAAAATCAATGACTAGAACGAATTGATCTAAATGATAATATTTATTTAACGCATTTTAATGAACACTGGGACTAACTCCAAGACCTTTAGACGGTGCGCGACTTCACATAAGTCATGGAAAAAGTATTTAAGCACCTCAGTAAATTAGTTTGTACATGTATACCACCATAATAATTAATGCTCGCATTATAAACAATGTTTATTTGAAAGTCAATTTTTAAAGTACATATACTCCTTTGGCTTAGACTTGTACAGTATGACTATCAAATAGAAGATGTAACTTTCTTGTGAAAATTGACGAGATTTTATATTTTATCATATTCTAATTTTGTCAGCATATCGCTTGAAAATTTCATTTCTGTTTCGACATGAATTATTATTATTATTATTATTATTATTTTTTCTTTCTTTTTTTTTTTTTGCTTAAATATCTAATCATTCTCTATCGGTAAATATTGCATTGATTAGATTAAGCACAAATTCATTTTTTGGACAAGTTTCAATATAATTTCAATTTTTCTTTAAAAAAATTTCTTCAGCATGATTTGTAAGCTCTATCTTTGATATTATTTGATTGGTGCTAATGCATTGATTTTTCTTACTCATGCCATGTACAAGTATTCCCAGTGACTGGAAGACGACGGATTCCAAACGCATATTTTTCCTATATGCGGATGTAACCTATTTTATTCCTCCCCAGTCATGATATAAACAAGGGATATAATCGTAGCTGACTGGGATAGCTGACACATATTTTGTTGGTTTTTACTGTTCAAAATGTCAAGTGGTAAAGGGAAGGTTAGTATGTTTTATTCTAATCTATATTGCCTATAAAACTTACATCCAACCCATATACATGTAGCCGTTGTAAATAAAAGTATTTCTGAATGAGAGGTTCAACGTGTAAAAAACGTTATAAATTATATTATCATAATGGTATTCGGAGGTTGGATTGATTATCCTAGGTGAGAAATTATGAAATTTATAGATCTCGTACAACAAATCAGCAGACTGACCTTATAATTGTTGCATACTTTAAAATGTTCTCAGCTACTGTTTCCAGTCTAAATGTTGCTCTTGGTTCTATCCAGAAACTTGATCAAATATGCAATCATTAGAAACATTGCTTAAATATATTCTCATGGCCATTTTTCTTTAAAGAACGCCTTCCAGTTCAAATATCTGACTTTACAATTAAAGTTCAAATATTTAACAGAATTGAATGCAACTTGATCATTTAAAGTTGTATTCTGATAGTCTGAAGTATTGACTCAATTGCATCGCTATTGTTTTGTGACTTATAATAGAGCGATGTAGAAAATCTTGTAGGTATACTTTCATACTATGCATGACCCATTTACCAGTAGATGGACATTCTAATGAATTGTAACATTAGTAAGACGTAGATAAATGTTTTTGAAATTTAAAAAATAAGTTGACTTCGTATTTAATATTAATGATTGACTTAGATAATAATATTGTTTTCAAGATAAGTTGATTTATGGGAGAGATAGGCTCGCAGACATTTTGTTGATGAAACTCTAGGTCGACAGCTAATTCATCAGGACAAAACAACTCATTGTTCAGTTTTGGCAGTAGAATAATGCACACGCGCACAGAGTTTTAAATAAAAGAGACTTATTGAATGTGATCTAACAAACACACTTTGATAGACACTCCCAGAAATAATATCTGTTATTGCAAAGATTAGTTTTCCCAACATCACACGTCACCTTTAGTAAAAACATATCTTAATTAAAAACATATCTCAATTAGGTCTAATATATCATACATACTCATCGTATTTCTACTACATTTTTTGTACAAACCGCGAATTTCTTCCTTCTACCATTTCTGGCTTGTTGCCTTATCAAAATACATGTACCCCTTTGCAAATAGTTCGATGGGTATACTATAGTAATGCGCCTGTGTGGGGGGGGGGGGGTTCTTTGTGCAAATGGAAGTGATTTAACTTGCATCGAGATTGATGTCGAATACTGCCTTGATTTATACATGTAGACGTGGCTTCCGTAAATGTTGAATTCGTTTCATTACTCTTTTCGTTTTTGGCACTAGCTGCAATAATGTAGCAGCTACGTACGTTTTCATGTCTGACTATTGAATAGGAAAAGGCAAAATCGACGGTGCCTTAGTTCAAGTACCAACTCTATATAGGACCACGTCCTTTCCAAGGCAATAAATCTGTATTAATGTCTTTCTTATACAAGTGATTCACACGTTTCATATGTGTAAAAATATTCGACTTTACCATTTTAATTCCAAATTGCTCTTGACAATGTCAACTGACCAAGTAAAGGTACTCTTGACAAATAACAACCTACGTTTCTTTTACGACTTACCAGCAAATCTATATTCTGTCGTGTAAATAAATGTAAGTACAAATAATTTAAATTCCTCAAACCTTAAGAAGGACAAAGAATTTTTACCAACCACGGAAAAATACCTGTATATTCTACACAATACATGTATATAAAACTGTTTCTTTTCCCACATAATATGCATGCACAACTATACCCTACAAATCTTCCCCATAAGAATATACAGGTCTCTCCAAGTTTTTTTTTTAAATATCATTTGAAGGACCCGATCTCAGTCGTTATAATTTTCTTAAAGTTTAGAAAAGCATTCAAGACATTGATTGTTTCAAAATATGTACTAGATCTGATTTATGCAATAAATTATACAAAAGCAAATTTTGATGTAAAACATTAATATTTTCAAACACTGTTGTTCCATAATAAATGTCTCTACAAGATTTTTAAATCAAGTTTATAATTTCTTTGTCAATTGTAAGAATTAAGAAAAATATCTCTAACTTCTTAAAATTGGGATTTTTTGAAAATTAAATTGATTAGTCAGAATCCTGGCAATCAATCTTTTATTCTTATCTTCAAAGATAAAATTCGAAAAAAGAAGATATTTTAATTATAATTATGAATAATGATAAAATCAATGGAAAGGTCTTCATACAACTGAGAAATGCCTAAAAAAGATGGCGATAAATTTCAATGGATGATTGAAAAATTTTCAATCACTTCCATTAATAAATAAATAAATAAAATATTAAGAAATTCCACAAACTATTGGATCGACTTCGTATAATTGAACTTAAAAAATGTAACAGTAGGTTACAGTATATAATTAATTTGTAAAAAGTGATACATGTGGGTCCTCTCATTGTTATTACGTGCATTTAAATTTCAATAATGGAAATTTTGTTCATCTGGTCTAGTTTGGAATGTCTGGTACTGTACATTTTGTACAACTAATATCTAAGATAAATTATCTTAACCTGATATATAAATATTGAGTTACAGATTTATCTGAAGGTTTAAGATTCAAATTCCTGGTTAAGCCCCTATCTGTACCAAAAATGGACGCGGGTCAATGTATGCAAGTGCAATAACAAGTTCAGTAACTGATTTACAGATTCTTAATACTGGTCAAAACGATAGCTTAATAATGTTTGCTCATGGTTCACACAAAAAATATCCAAACATCTAGGGATCGACGAAATCCCACTGCAGAACGCGGAGACCCACCCCAGTCCTTTGGATGAGACTGTATATATACCGAGTTCTAACTGCGAATACTCAGAAGTCATAAAAGCTGAGTAGACCTACTATAATAGTAGGTCTACTCTAAATTAGCAGTCCTCCATCGGTAATTAATTAAGTGGTGGTGGCACATTACAGTGGCGTAGCATCGTTTTTGAAAGTTGGGGGGGGGGGGGGGGCAGCCAGAGAAAAATTTTTTTTACTTACCTGAAAAAGTTGACAAGCAAAAGGGGGGGGGGGTAGGTAAACTTTTCCTCACTGTCAACTACTTTTAGTACCAATTCTAATACTACATTTTCAGTACATCACTAAAAGTGGGGGGGCCAACCAGGCTTTCAATTAACATTTCCTATAGTATAAGTAAGGTTGGGAAAAAAAGTGGGGGGGGGGGGCAGGCCACCCCTGGCCACCCCGGTTGCTACGCCCCTGCATTAGGAGTGAGAACAGTCTCAATGGGAATTTGAACAACCAACAAATCTTGATCTTGAAGTTGATGCAGTTTTGAGGAACAATAATCTTTGCATTAAATTTTGTTAATTCAATGAATGATGGCCAGTCAGAAAAGAACACATAAACAAGACAGTTACATCATACAATGTCATGAATACTTTATGACGCTTAAAGTGGGAGACCAAAACCGAGAATCCGTTTGTGATAAAATTGGGGGGGGGATAGTTATGCTGGACTTGCTTGAATTTAGATAGACAAAACTTTGTTTCGTCAATAAATTCGTATTTAAACCAAGTCTTAAAAAAATCTGTCAAATAAACACAAACTATATACTATATCGGAATGTTTCAAGATAAATAGATAAGGCTTACACTTTATTAGTGGATTTACACTCTCTGTTCCCCAAGAAAGGATCTGCATGCATTAAAATTTTGGGGGTCAGGTGTTTTCTTGGTGACCCCAGCTAAGATTTTAAAGTGTGTTTTTACTTTGGTTTATCATACTTCTGGGTATCTGATCGACCCTTATTTAAAACCTTCCATGAAGTCAAAAGATATAATCTGCACTTGTATCGGATTCGAATCAATTTCCAGTTTAAATTCAGTCATTCTTACTGCCACTATATGTGTATCATTCAAATTGAAATATTCGTTTTCAAAATTTGATTTATTGATCAGTTACTGGTGGAAATGCATTATTATAGATATTCCCTACTATTGAATGTTATTGAATCGCAGAATGTTGCATTGATTTCGATGAGTTATTATAATACCAACATGTAACAAACATGCCATACGCTCATGATTTCATAATCAAATACAAAACACCACTTCAGTAAAACGTCATGGCTTAATTTTACATATACGATAAGAATGCCTCCCATCTGAGATCCATTAAATCTTTTGTGTTGATCGACGCAGATCGATTTAGGGAAAGAGAAAACAGTCCTTCCACCTCATTGGGCTTTGTGAACAGAACTGTCATTCTGTCCCTTTAAAATCAGACTCAGGTCGACCATTGTCCAAGTTGTAGTTGGCGTTAGAAACCAACATAAGTTTGCACTATTTCCTTGTCGTCTGCGGAAAATGTAAACGCACTCTATAGTCTGCTTGTCCCAAAGCTGTTGCAGCAGACAGTTTGTTACTGAATGTGATTATAAATTCAAAGAGGGTGATTATTGGATTTTATTGAAATATGTCCTCTAAGGTAATGGTTATATGTCCTGAATTTTGTCAAAATTTTATTTATTTTTTTTTTAAATTTGATAATATGTAAAGATGTGAAGGAATCTGCTTGGTCTTGTCAACTGAAAATGAAGAAAATACTATAGGCCTAATGACCACTGGGCGATTGTGGCAGATCTTAACTAAACCCCTATCAATCTCTCCATTCATTAGTTAAATACTTGCAAAATTTGGTTTAGATGAACAAGTTATAAATCCATTTGTTTTTCTTATAAACGATTTTTCGAGCTTTAATTGAAATCAGATTTAATTTTAAATTTTGAAATGACAAACACCACCACATATAAGATGAACAACGGTTTCTCGATTTATTCACGGATAGCTTTCGCCATAATTTATTTTAAATTGTGGGTTAAATATTGACACAGAAATTTAATAGGTACAAAGCGCCGGAATGGTAAACACTCAATGGAGTTTACGAAATTTTATATACATTGATTTACAAGAGACGTGTGACAAGATAAGCAAAACACATCAGTTTCAAATCCACACAAGAAACACGCAAACCTTTAAAGGGATATGCAGTTTTATGATTTATTCATTATAAATATACTAGTATTCCAAAGTAGATAATAGTATACAATTATTGCTGTTTTTGAGGTCAATACAATGATTTAGCCATCTGAGGAGTACAATATTCACCGAGCCCGAAGGGCGAGGTGAATATTGTACTTCGAAGATGGCTAAATCATTGTATTGACCAAAAAAAACAGCAATAATTGTTTTATTATATGATTCAGATAAAATGATACAGCTCATTACTTGTTTGCATTTAATTAAGTCCTAGCCATATACAAGAGAGAAGCAGGATTAAAATGTGAATAAACCTTACCGGTCGTATCAATTTTAAATGTTTTTTTATCAATTTTAGTTGCCATGAAAAAAATATATAATGTCAGTCTTTTTTATAGGATAGATTTTGAAAGGAAGGAGTATTATCAGGGAAAACTGACTGTCAAAAAGTAAAAAAAAATTGTTGTTCAGTAAAAGTGTTGGAGGGGGGACCCTGCATCCCCTGTTACCACCCTCACACTAAAATATATATTTGCTTGTGTTTTGCTGACATGATCAAATCAAAAATCATAGTCATATAAATAGCTTTCCAAAACACTTTGTATCAATTTGGAATTTCCCAATCTATTTTTAGATCAATGTAGAGGAAATAAATCCTTGTATTGACTTGGAACGTCACGTGCAGGTCAATACAACGTAGTATTTTTCTAATATAGTTGGATCTCAGCCAATCAGAGAGTTGGAAATTATTCAATCATATAATAAAATATTTTATTCTACATTGTATAAATTCTTCAATAAAAATCCTTGCATTTCTGTTTTTAAATTAACTTTTTAGCGTATTACTTGAAGTTTTGTTTTTCTTGTTTTGTAGAAAAAGGTAGACAGGAACTTGGAAGCTGGTAAGTTCTCGACCATACAACAAACTTATGCAGATTAAACTTCATTAAAACCTAAATTAGGTGAAAATTGATAGTTATTTCTCTCCGGTTAACAATTTTCAGTCGTCAATAAGTACTCATTGAACATTTAAAAGATTGTTAATTAGGCAATGAGAAAAGTAACAATATTAACTTAACCCAGGTCAAATTTCCTTATAAAGCCAATAAATTCTAAGGTGTTTTCCTTTGTTGATAAATCGATTGAAAATGATCCTTCGTTTGTATACATTTAATTAAAACATGATTGTTTGAGTAAAATACAAAGATTTTCAGATTTATATCAAATAAAAATAGGAACTGGTTTTCTCAAGAGTGACTTTCTCTCACCTACTACAAATTGAATGCTAACATTGAATTTAAATGTTATCTTTTTATATATATATATATGTACTTGTTTTGTCAAACACGAATCTTTTTTATTCACCTTTGTTTCCCGAAATAAACAAAAATAATCCCCTTCATGGATAGGTAAACTTACAAAGACTTCAGTAGCCGAAAACATGTACTCGAAATACATGTAGCACTTTTTTTTTTTTAAATCCGACTCGAGTTAATTGTAATTCCGAGATATATCAAATGCTTACATCAAAGGACCTTGATATTGGATATCGTCTTAAGAAGTTGTTTTTGACAACAATACAATAGTACCGATCAATGGAAAGTGACGAATCAAGTTATTATAATTCACGCAATCATCAATAAGAGTTTGACAAGTCAATTAATCAGGTAAATAGGAATTAAAGATTTTACACCGTCCGGCAACAAAGTATTATAGCATTAATACTAACTCTAGAAAGCTTTTTAAACAAACTTTAACACCTGGTGTTCTGTTCTCACAACAAAAGACGTCATTTGTCGTGGTTTTCTTTTCTTATTGATACGTGTTCAGATTACACCCCCCCCCCCCCATCAACACCATCACAAATTTAATATATTCTTATAAAATGTTTGAATTAAAAACAAAAACAAAAAAAAAACAACAAACTATTGGAGTTGGACATATATCAATGGTATTATTTATAGTGAAGATACATACAAGGTCAATGTTGAGAGAAAAAATAAATAAAAAAATAAAGTTTGGATTTTTTCTTGTTTTTGCTTTGCTCGTTACGTGAGCTTGCTGAGATACGTGGGATTTCTTTTTCTTTGAAGTCAGTTAAATAATTGTATGGACTATCCTTTGTGTCAATATTAGTGAGGGATTTATTTTTTTTTAAAAACTTTTTGCCTGATCGGCAAGTTAAGACAGGAAATTTATTTACTTGTTTTAAATCGTTGAGAGTAAGGCAGACAATGCATACTATATTATTCCTCATTCGTATAAAAGTCGATTTAAGTTAAGTTCATTCTAAGCATATCAGCTTCGTGTTCTTTAACAAATCTGGCATACATAATCCAGCAACTTCCAACAATTGTGAAATGCGTACTCATATGTAACACATATTGGCCGGACTTCCCCTTGGTCCCCCCACCCCCTTTCCATCTCCGTATCGTCGTGACAGCTGGCGGCAAAAACATCTATTTTAAAACATTGCAAAGGCAGGTTACAAATTTAACAATTGCGTTTTGAATGTTATAGTCATTCAATTTGAATAACAAACAAGCATATTATAAGTACATCTTTAAATAAAAAGGTGGTACACTGTATTTAAAACTATTTTAAATTCGACCTATTAATCAACTTAGTCCAAACTTTTTTCCTGCACTGAAATTTATCGCCTGAAATACACAGAAATGTCCATTTTGTAATGAATTAGATGTTACTAGTATACAGAAAAATAGCTGCAGAACTGTAGCTCCCCGGAAAAAAAATATGGTCTATCAATATATTTTTTCGGAGAGCTACAGTTCTGTAGCTAACAGAAAGACGACAAGAGCTCTGTTTTCAATCATGCAGATAATACGCGCTGCATGTGAATTCAAAAATTGAATTCTTTTACTTCCTTGTTACAGAAATAAAGAGCCTCTTCAAAACATTCGATAAGAATAATGACAAGTACATATCCAGTGAGGAGCTTGGAAAAGCCATGAGGTTTCTAGGGTTAAACGTCACGAAGGCGGACGTAAAGGAAGCCATGAAAGTGCTGGACAAAAACGGTAAAATAAACACCAGTCATAAATCTGTTTATCATTCAGCGCTCTTCTAATACACAAGCAACCTACTTATTTCTTTATTCTACATGCCATTAAATTATTCAAAGTTTTTTAACACAACGTATACTTTAAGAAATTAATGAAATATTATCAGCCTGTCATTTTCCATTCATATAATTTTCACGCAGGCAATGGAAGGGTAGAATTTGCAGAATTTTCGGCTTTCATGAAGAAGGAGTTGGAGAAAAATCAGGCAGGCTCAGATCAAGAGTCCAGTATCCGAGCAGCATTTAAAATCTTTGATAGGGACGGAAATGGCGTAATAGACGCCAAAGAACTGAAATTCGCTATGCAAAATCTGGGCGAGAAACTGACGGAGAAGGAGCTTCAGGACATGATGAGGGAAGCGGATGTAGACGGAGATGGGAAGATTAACTATGAAGGTGAGTTGTCTGGGTACACTCGGAGCTCCTCGGATGGCTCGTACCTAGCGTAGCAGAGTCATCCGAGGATTGCCGATCGGTATGAGTAAAATGACAGATGGCTAAGTCGTAATAGGAGTGGCGGAGGAGTTCTTGAGAGACATCGGAACGCTTACAATCTGTCAATATTTTATACTGAGTGCACGAATAAGCTTCCGTTTAGAAAGGAGAAAAAAAATTAAGCCCTCTTTCTCTCTGAAAATGGGGTTAAAAATCTTTTTAATACTCGAGTCAAAGGTTCTCATGAAGTTTTCTGACTTTTCATATTTCGGAACCAAGAAGAATACTTTTGAAAGAAAATAAAACATCATTGATAAACCAATTCCCATTCAAATAAACTTAGATAATGCTAAAATACTCATAATTTATATGCTTCTTTTTTCAGAATTTGTGAAGATATGGACAGAATCAATGTAGATCCTAAATTCCATAAAGTGGGAGTATTTGTTACTTTTGTTTTTTATGTTGAAAGGACAAACTTGTTATCAGAGTGCCTTTATCATTTTGATTTTACTAACACTTAGGTTGACCCTTCATACGTATCAAACTTACTCTAAAGTGTTAATGGCATGGATAACATACAGTAAACTCGTATTTTTTTGAAAATCGGTAAGGTCTGTATTTATTTCTTTGTGGAACTTGTACCTTGTAACTATCCAAGGATACAACAGAAAAACTTTGACCAGCAACAATATACATTTTGTTATTTAATTTTGTACTGAATACCACATGGACTTAATAAAATATTAAAATCCAATATGTGTCTAGGTGATTCATTTCTTGACTTGATGAACAGAATTATTATTCAAATACTGGTACAGAAATGATCAAATGGCATCCTCTGAACATTCAATTTCAGTAATCTAGGCTTTAGTTATTGATTATCTCTCAGGCTGACATTAATAACATTGATGCTTGTTGGAAATATTATCTTTTGTAAATATATTGATTCTTCATCATGTCTTTTTTTTATTCAATTAACTAATAATAACAACACCATTCATCTAGGCTTAAAATCTTGGTACAACGGATATTTGTTGTGAATACGACATGAAGGGGACTAATTTTTTTTTTTCATCTTCAGAAATTGAAAATTTTAAGTTACAAAAAATGAGGTCATATTAAATCTTATATAATGTAGTTGTACTAAGAATACCTGGGGTACTTTTGTAAAAAGTTATTTTTGTCCTACAACATGATTGCCTGAAGCTCCAGTACAAACTGAACTCAGAATCACACGAATCAATTAGGTGACAAAGAAGACAAAAAATGTTTAATAAAACTCATTTTAATCAATTTCTCAACATCAAGGTTAGCTCTATAACCTTTAAAAATATCAATACCATATAAAATGGCTGCTGACACAAAGTACATTTGTCTACAAGACGAACAATTTGAGATCTGCCACACTCATTATAGAGACATAGATTTAAATGCAAACACACATGTACACGTCAAACAAACCCTGCGATCATCATGTTAAAAAAAAAGTCACTCAAATCTGAGAACAACTGTTCCAATCTTTCTCACATCACACAAATAACTTTTACTGTACTTGTTTGAGAATTTTAAGTTCTGTGAAAACTCAGTGAAATGATATTTTCATACACTACAAATGTGATACAACAGGCAGGTGTGACTCGTAACAGGTTAGGGGTAAGTCCTTTGTAAAAAGCCCACAATCCTTCATACCTGAAAATATCAATTAACCACATGTTTAAAATTAAGGCAATCCTGTCAGTTAAGAATATACACAAATTTTAACTTTCATACAACTCACAACCCTCCAAATGCAACAATAACAATCTCAAAAACACATATCATGGTAATGTGATAAATAATTTGGTATACAGATGTATTCATATGTTAACCAAAGCTGTACATTTTAAAATCAGTGAAGTACCCTCACTTGTCAACATACATGTATCCTGAGGGTAAACGGAAAAAAAGGTAAAAATGTTATTATAAAACTAATAACAGCAGTTTATCAGGTATTATAAAAATAATATATGCAAATCATGAAAAAACATAAATTTTTTCTGAAATAAATGTTTTTTTAAAATATTCTTAGAGTAGAAGTAGGCATCATGCCATATTTCTTCTTACAGTCAATTTAATAATTGTATTACAAGTTGCAGATTTAAATGTAAAACATTTGCATTAGTTTCCATAAAAAATCGGCAATCAGTTTTGCAACAACTTAAATATGGTTTCCTTCATGAAAATAAAAACATAAAATGATTGTTATATAAAAAGCACTACACATACTTTTTTTTTTCAAAAAATTCTTTGAAGGGTTTTAAGTCGATATGCATGGCTGACCAAAATTTGGTTATGGCACAATACAACTGTAAATCTTTGAAACAAAATACATTTGTCAAAGGCATGTTTTTAATTTGTTTGCAACTCTTGCAAAAAAAAATAGTATGGTGTTTACAAGCATGTCAGCTGGATTTACATGCAATGTGTTTATTTGATGGACAACTCTTGTCACAAAGGTAATACAATATATGGCCATAAGTGAGTCATAATTGCATTTTTTATACAATATATTTTATTGAAAAAAACAATTTTAATAAAACCTTATTGTGAGGTAAATTTTAGCTCTATTTCCATGATTTTTTCACTGAATCATCAGAATTATTCAAATTTCCTTGTCTTAAAATGCTAAACAAAATGATACACAAATCATTGAGAAAACAAAATGAAAATAAAGCAGTTAGAGATATGGCAAGTGTTTTAACATGGGAGACAATTTTGACGGGAAAACCAACTTGTACAGATTGCACGAATTTGGCGCTTACCATTCCTGAATATTCATTTAAAAATGTTTTTTTAATGATATTTAGTTTGGATTTCTATTTCTGTCAACATAAAGAAACAACTTTTATATTGTAAATCACTTTTTATTTGCAAGAGCATTATTTCTATGTAAATATTTGAAACTGTGCCTGCTTGAGAAAATATAGAACTTTCTTGTATATATTTGAATGACTTGTACAAAACAGTAATAAAAATATCATGAATATTATGCCTTGCTTATAAATACAAAATGGCCATCTTGTGAAATAAGGTATTCCTAAAAATTAAAGATCTACAGTATATCAGTGGTTGAATATTAAACATAATATAAACAAAGTAGCATGTATAACTGTAAGCATTGTATGCTATCATAGGCTTTGATACACATTATACAGTAAGAAATACACATGTAATTAGTACATTCATTTTTATAATAATCATGATAATTGTGATTTTTTTATATGCTTACCACTAATCTGGATTTAGATTTTCATTTACATGTGTAAGTAGTTTAAACTAATATTACAAAAAAAAAAAAAAATATAATACAGTCTGATTGTAGTGCATATAAGATGAATAAATAAAATTTTTAAAATAAATACATTTTTAAATGAGATTCTCCAAAGCTATGCTTCTGTTTTCGTTTACTCTGGGATTATGGCTGATCCAAAGGTCATGAACCTTTTCAATCTCTTCTGAACACACAATAAAACCACCTCTAAAATTAGTAACAAGTACTGTAAATAAAACTTTTATAGCTGGTAATTGTGGGAATATACCACTAGCAGTAGCATATGAACTATCTAAACTAGTCCCTGAGAATTTTTTCATATTTCTGCACACAAAAATATAATGCTTATTTTTCTTTCTCTTCAACAACAATGATTCCCCTATTGTATAATTTCAGACCAATTAATTCCAGGTATTTGAAACTTCCTGAATATTTTTTCCACTGGAACCTCTCTGTGATTTACATTCCTTTAAGTCACCTTCTATTTTTGCCGCTACAACTGGAACCTCTCTGTGTTTTACATTTCTTTAAGTCACCTTCGGTTATTACTGGTACAACTGGAATCTCTCTGTGTTTTACATTTCTTTTAAGTCACATTCGGTTATTATAACTGGTCACTTGTTCCCACACAAGAAACACAATGCAGATATTGGGAGTCACATGAAACAAATACACCATCATTCCTTTAAAAAATCCTCGCATTCCTTCAAACCTAGAGAAGGATTAAATGTCATTCGCAAAGGAAAACACAAATACATCAATGAATGCTCAATAAAAGGTAGAAAAAATATCAATATGCTTAAAAAGTGTGTACAGTATTGAGGTTGTTTAGTGCATCATTATCATGTACAAGAATAACGATTAAACAATCATTTTCACTATTTTGAAAAATTACAATAAAAATGAAAATTCAAGGGGAACTGATTTCTTTCCAAATGAACTGTCTTTAATGTACTTCTTTATGTACATGTATTATGATTGTTGATTAATTGAAGTATTAAAACAATTAATCAAAAACTAAAATAAAAATTAGAACAAATGTGGGTGTCACTGATAATCAGAAAATCCCTTTATAAAATTGCTTCAAAAGCATTTCTTGTTTCTGTCCATTTTTCCCAGTATTAAAAAAGTTATTAAATGTCTGATAATTTTGTTGAAAAAAGAAAATCATTTTATTCAATATAGAAATTGTTTTGAAAGAAATGGCATATTACTACAGAGATCAGTTTACCTGTAAATTTGCCTGATGACGTCACTGATACCGCTGTAACTGCGATGCTGATCCTGTAGCCGAGATCGAACCACCTGGTAAGGATATGTCACAGTGGCCGCTATAATCTTGGAGAGTGCAGCAAAAGCTATGTACTCAGCTGAATTCTACAGAAAAACAAAAAATTTCATTACTTTAATTACTGTCTTGCACATCTGATGAATTTGCACTTACTCACAGAAACATGAATTTCATTTCTAAAGTTGGGCAAATTCTGCCTTTAGAAAATCACAAAATTGAGGTTTACTACACGTTATATACATGTATTAGTCATCTCTCTTTATAGGTCTGTTCAGTAAGACCAAACATATAAAAAAAATTCAAAGAAATCAAATGACAGCATTTCATGCTGTGTCAAAATAAGAAAAAATGTGTAGATCTGTTGCAGTGAATAAGAAATCAATCTAAGCAGAACTGTATTCCCTTTGCAACACAGCTTTAATCATTCATAAATTAAAAAAAGTACAGGAAAAAACTAAAATTTCTCACCAGTCTGTAATCTATTGGCCTCTGTTTAAAATTGTTATATTTGGTTTTCATCTCTTCATAACACACAAACTGTATAGCACCATGAGAAATTCCAAACATCCCTGGTATAAAACCCTAAAAAAATGATAATATTAATTTAGTATTGGTTACAGAGCAGCAGAATAAAAATGCAAATTCTTAACTTTTTAATCTGTGTTTTCTGACTTTTTTTGGGTGTTAGAAACTGTAAGTCCATTACACACAAGTAAATTTAATAAGAGAATCTGTGATCCACAAACTTTTATCAATGTTATCAAACTAAGATTTATCTTCTCACTTTGGACAAATTATGAAATTAATACAAATTTTCTTTTGGCCCTGTTTTCTTTCAACACTGATATTTTCAAGAACTTATAGACTATCATACCTTATACAATCCAAGAACACCTTCATACTTGTAGATTTTGTATAGGGCATCAATCATTCCTGAGTAATACTTTTCTGGCTTTATGGAGGAAACATTAGTTTCATACTGAAGACACAACCTTGTTTTCACAACCCAGAGAGGGTTCGTCAGCATCAAAGTCATTAACCCTGTAACACAGGTAGACATACATATTTATTGACACATAAATTATATTTTTCATAGATTTATTGGTCTTGATTTGCATGAAATATTGTACTATACAAAAGAATAATATATTATCAGAATCTTGATTCAACTCAAAAGAATATATCAAAGGTGAGTTCACCATTCATCAGACACCCTCAAACAAGTTTTGGCAACATAGCTACCAAGTGAATATTACAAAAAATTGAAGCTTAATATCATTAAAAGCATTTTTGTAATTAGCCAGAATTCATCATGGGTTGGACAGTAGTCACCAAGCTTTAGACAAACCACATATTGGATAGGAAAACAGATTAAGGATTATGCAAGTTTCTCTTTACCTACCATACTCTTTCTTAAAACTGATCTAGACCTGAAGAAGTTAGTTTTACATCTTGTTTTATCTATTTAGGTTGACCAGACATAAATAATTTTTTTATAAAGAAAAATATCTAAGAAACGAAATGCACACTTAAAAAGCTTTATCTGTATCCCCAAAATTCACTAATTTTTACAATTTATATGGCCCATGCACTCCCAAAAAGTGTTACAAGAACACAATACATGTAATTAATCTAAATTAAATTTATTCTTTTTCAAAACTTTTATTGGTTTTAAATGGCTCTCTATTGACTCTATGGCATGAATTTTCTACCCAGTTACTTTGAAATAAAGGGGCAAAACTCTGACTGGCAATTTGTGACTTTATTTTCACAGCTGTTTGGAACCATTGAAAGGTGAAAAAAATATCAAGCTTACAAGTTAATCTACAGTGTTTTCCCCTTTATTTCAAAGTAAAGGGTTAAAGATCAGTTGTAACAGGCTTGGGGCTGAGGTTTATGAACAAAATCTCTGTTGACCTTACAATTTAGATTTTTTTATTTCAAAGTGGCATTTTTGTAAACTGAAGAGGTTAAGTTGGCCGGTAGCCTGTTTTTAGGGAAAACACTATGTTACATAACGTATAGTGTTAATGATTAATGAATGCTTATGGAATCCATGCTTTTAGTTGGGTATATTACATTAACACCCAAATGTGTTGATGTAAATCAAAGATTGTTACATGTCAATATCAAAGTGCCCTGGATCTGTAGTTATCTGGCACAATCTGAGCACAATGTGTCTAATTTTTTTTAAATGGACTTTTGCACCAAAAGTGAATTTTGGGTGCATTTTGTTGTCTGTTCTTTGCTTGACTACTAGTTGAAGACTTAGTAAGTCATATCATACTCATGACATTTACATAAAACATTCTTGTTAACTTCTAAGAGAACTAACCTGCTCCTGAAGCTGCTAACGTGTGTTTTCCAGCTCCTAAATCTACTTTAGTGTCTCCATCTTGCATGAAGGTCTTAATACTGTTATAACTAGAATATATACAATATAATGAAATAAATATTTTCAAAAAAATGCCAGGCATAAAAATAGTTGAAAAAAAATAATAGTATTGAAAGTCTTACCTGATAAATAAATTTATTTGTAAAAATCATTTTAATACAAAAATATAAAATGTATACAAATTACAATAGCAAAACAAATCTTCATTGTTTCAAAGGCAGAACTAAGATAATATCTTACAACATGAAGTAGAATCCCCATGATGAAGCTGATCCCAGCACATTGGGTTTCACTCCCTGGTACAGTCCAGAGAACCCACTAGTTTTCCGTATCGTTCTGAAGGCATCCACAATCCCCCTGTACTCTGGTCTGTCTATATGTCCTACTGTCGCTGCCCCTTCATTCACTACGAAAAAAAATTGTTTCATAAATTTGGATGCAAGTTTAAACGGCATTTGGTAAATTCTTAGATTGGTAATGTTTTTAAATGACACTTATTGCTTAAATGTGTCAAATTATTAATCAGCTGCTTATATTGTCATTTGAAAAAAAAAAACCCTTCTGTATATTGAATGTAAAGTACAAATTAACAATCTGAAAGAAAAACTCTTAAGATCTGACCAACGACAAACGTGAGAGGGGCAAAGGGGGGGGGGGACAGAGAGAAAAGATGAAAAGGGCACCCCTGGCTCTGGCATAAAATGTAAAAAAGGAATTAAAAATATGGAAAATCTTACTTTATGAATAAAATTCTTTGTAAAAAATAAAAACATTATAACCTTGGAAATACGTCTTGAAGCAGGGAACCCCAGCTTTGTTTAATATATTGTTTTCCCCTACCTTGTGCATTTGAAAATGTTAACCTACCAATTCAGCATTCCTCTGACTCTAACACTTGCTTTACCTTATATTGTTACAATGAGGTGCATTGAAGTGGTAAAATTTTCTGTTTGGATGGAACGTTTTGAGCTATCTTTAGTCACGCCCATTTCTTTAGAAAGGAAAAATCTGTCAAATGATTCAATCGAATACCTGCAGAACAGGTATTCTATAAGTATAATAGCCAATCAAATTGACAGTCTACATAAACACCGAGTCAGCATGTGTTCGACTGACAGATGTGCTATGCTAACTACAATAAACATGATAAATCATAATTATGTACAAATTCGTTGCAATGCGTGTTTTACATAAACGGGAACTCTATACATAGCTCTTTCTTATTTAAAAATCTTCATTTCAGTGTAACTCATGTTGCTTGTGGCGGAAAGTGTAGTGTCCTAAAACATTACGACGAATATTCCTTTCTCGTTTCTAAAGAAATGGGGCGTGTCGTTATGTTATAATTGACGTTCAAAACATCACTCTGAACGTTTCGTCCAAATGGAAAATTTTACTACTTCAATGCGCTTCATTGTACCTGTGTAGGGGAGATGTCACTATTTAAAATGAGGAATCTCGGAAATATGGCTGTGCTTTTAACATATATGTACCTTGAAATCTTATTTTGACTAAGTCTAAAGGGTGAAGAAGAAGTGTAGATGCCGCTCCGCCGCTTACACCGGCTACCAGATGCTCCCATTTTACATGACGCAATATTCCTTTGACTGGAGGGGTCACGCCGTCAACATCGGTCACACCGGCTTTCTTCACCTGAGATCCCGTCATAGCACGTCAATATCAAGACCAACCATAAAATTTATATCAACTAAAATAACTTAAAATTTCCTTAAAATGAACCCATGGGACACTGTCTATAGAAGAAATCTTCTTCCCCATCACGTTTCTCTCACTTATTTACACCTTCGGTAGCCATCTTGTCGAGTGGGCAAAGGAGTTGTCCTTTCTTGGAGATACTAAATACAGGTCTTTCTCGGTAATCTTCTTCAAACCCGGATGGATAATCAAACGCATTCTTTTGTTAGAATTCTTCATTTAACATCGATAGTACAGTGGGTTTGAACTTAAGAAATAAACGGAGGATTCCACTTAAAAAAATCAGTTTAACTAATCTAATGTTCGTATAAATCTTATTAATGACTTGTGTTAATTAAATAAGACCATCATTAAAAATATTTTTGTTTGACGTACTCCGACCCACAATTTTCAAGGTGGGTAGGTAGGTAGGTAGTTGTTGTTTGTTTGTTTGGTTTTTTTTTTTGGTTTTTTTTTTGCATAGCAGTTATGGAAAAATTGAAAACTGTCATAGAACTTGAAGACTCGGATAGCTATACAAACTTTATTTTTATTGCTATAAAAACTTTCAGTTGAAAGCATCCTATAGAGATAAATTATATACCTTAGCTTTAAAATGAAAATTTCTATTTCTATGGAAATTAATGAAAAAAAAATTGATAAATTCTATCATAAAAGGACGAAATAGCTCAGCTAGTAACATTCTGCTGGGTGACTTATTAAAATTATATTTCTCATGATTTATATAAAATAAATTAAAAAGAATTTTTCCACGCAAAAATTTACTTTGCTTACTATACGTACTACGTACTATGTACGTACTGTGCGGACACAGTGCTACGTACCCTTCATGAAAAAATAATACTAGTATCTTAATTTTTCTTTCATTTTAAAATTCATAACATCTGATTTTTGGAAAACAATCAAATAATCCTGGTCATGGCTCCAATGAATAAATATAACAGAACAGAATTAGAATCAAGACAAACTCTTATATTCAGTCTTATCAATTTTATAAGTTTACACTGAGATATCATCAATAAAAGTTATAAAAAATAAATTTTTATCAGATATTCTTTAAACAATTCAACGAAATATTTAAAAAATCTTATCGTAAAAAGTTTAGTATAAAATTATAATGTTAGTTTTTAGGAAAACTTAACTACAAATTTGCTAAGTCCGAAATGAAAGTACATGTAGTGAAAATTCAAAGCTTCATTTATTTCAGAAAAAGGAATGCCAGGCTTAGATGTTGACGATCTCCCATGATCTCTCTAAGTTCCTCCTATACCAAAGAAAGATCCCATATTCTGGCTACTTGAATGTAACTTTTTGATTCATATTTTGTAATAATTTAATTTTAGTAGTCGTAACACGTCATTTGATTGGATAAAAGATTTAATTTATATCGTATAACATAACTTGCCTTCGTCACAATGAGTTACATCAAAAACGTAAATATACTTTTAAAATATGCTCAGTTTGAGGCCATAAGAGGGGCCGGGGGGTCTTATTGTCTACACTAAAATTAAATAATGTAATGCAGCTTCATGGAGCCTATGTTATACGAAATACATTTTACATAACTTGAGACAGTTAACGCTTTTTTAATAAATCGCTTCGCGGTTTATAAAACGTGAACTGCCCCAAGTTATGTTATATCGTATAACACAAAATAAGCTTCATTCTTTAAACATTAGTGGAAAGTTATTTGAAAATTAAATTGTCCCTGATTCAGAAATAGATTTTCTGCCCTTTTCTTTGTGTATGTACAAGAAGGAAATTTAAAATATGTCTTGCATATATTTGTTTATTCTTCCCAAGGTATAATTTTACTTCGGACTTGACTTTTAATAATTGAGGTTCATTGTTCTCCACTCAAAAATAGTATCTGTTTATCTATTAATGTCATTTCTTTATATAGGAATGGAAGGGAGTTTTTTTTTCTGATAAAGGCTTTAATATTCTCCACCAAGGAATTATAATTACTATATAAAAGAATCATTACACAATCTAGTCCTAGTTACCGACTTAATCATTATCTAATATTTACATTCAGCGTACTTTTCTTAACAAATCCATTAGAAATCCATGACGTTCAAATCTCTATAACACACGCAAAACCTTGTCACCGCGCGTTAGAATACACAGGAGGAACTAAATGCATTTTCAATACTTTATGAACACCAAAATGCATTGTTTGACACAATTCAATAAATTTTTTTTTAACCCTGTTGAATTAACGTAAAAATACAACAAATGTGCATTTAAAATTAATTTGTAACTTTTTTCCCTCGCAATGTTCGTTTGCGTTATTTAACTTTACGACGTCACAAACGTCACAAACGGTTCTTACGTCTAGATAAAGCACACCAGTATTGAAGGGCGCTAAATTCACATTAAAGATTACCGAAATAAACAAAAATGAAGAGAGAAAATTAAAGAATGTAAATGTAAGTATCAGGCGCGGATCCAAAAAATTTTTCCAGGGCGGGTCCAGTCAAAAAAAAAAATCCAATCCCAGAAATTTCTTGACAAGCAAAAAAAAAGAAAAAAAAAACCTAAACTCGCCCACATGTCAAAAACCTATTTCGTGGGGGGGGGAGGGGGGGGGTTAGTGGTGACTTGTATTGCCTCAAATCTTTCACTTTACATACCCATTTCACACATATTCGCGTTTACCAAGGGGGTCCATGGTAACTTTTTTCTTGTTTTAGTATTTTAACCTGGTAAATTCCAGGGGGATTGAAGACCCGCGCATGAGTATTGAATTCATATTTTGGGATGTCTTCGGTCCTATAACACACCTGGCCGTGCCGACAAATTATCATACCGCGTTAGCGCGGTGTCGGCACGGCCAGGTGTGTTATAGGACAGAAGACATCCAGATATTTCAAAGAAAGATAAAATAAATGAGCATTGGCCTTTAATATGATATAGTTAAAACACACATACAATATGACATTAGCATTAGCACACAAATTTAAACAATACAAGGAGTATTTTTATATATGACAGAATGAAATCTATAAAATTTGTAAGAGAAGCTTAGACATTATCAAAACCTAAAACACTTGCTTGTCGATCGATCTATTCAATTTTATATTTATACTGATTTATAAATGCACAACTAATATAATATTGATGTAGATACATATGTACATGTACATGTATCAGTTTCGTTACAAGAGTGGGGGGGGGGGGGTTCTGAACAATATTGATTTAGAAAAGTGACTTCTACTCCTATAGCCCTCTCAACTTCCCAACAATATGGGTTTTGGAGGTTTTATTTAGGAATTTTTAATAGTAAAATGTATTACAGTCCACGGAATATGAATACATAATAAATTTAAACGCATACTTGACGTTTTCAACTTTATCATTTATTTTATATGTATTGTAAAAGCAAACTTTATAATTTCTTTAATTTCTTCGAAATTTAATACACAAAATCCAATTAAGCACTGAATTCATATTTTGGGATGTCTTCGATCCTATAACACACCTGGCCGTGCCGTCAAATTGATAATTTGTCGGCACGGCCAGGTATGTTATAGGACTGAAGACATCCCAAAATATGAATTCAATACTTATATTTACATTCTTTATTTTTTCCTCTTCATAAATGTTTATTTCGGTAATCTTTAATGTGAATTTAGCGCCCTTCAAAACTGGTGTGCTTTATAGATACCCCAAAATTATAGAGGCATAACCATTACCAACAGTATTGTCAAACTTTTCAATATAATACTTAACAATAGATTAGATAATTTTTTATCAGAAAATAACATCATACACGAAAGCCAAATAGGATTTTCAAAAAAAGCTAGAACTTCGGATCATTTATTTGTAATGAAATGTCTGATCGACAAATACACCAACATAGGTAATAAACGTTTGTATGCTTGCTTCGTTGACTTCCACAAAGCATTTGATACAATAATACACGAGGGCATAAAACTTAAACTTCTCCAATTGAATATAAATGGACTATTCTACAAAATAATATGCAGTATGTACAAATACGGTTATATCTCGATTAAAATTGATAATAAATTAACCCAACCTTTCTCACCTGAACTAGGAGTAAGACAAGGTGATGTCTTAAGCCCGAATATATTCAAAATATTCTTAAATGATCTCGCAAATTTACTAAATGAAGATGTTAACTCAGTCTCACTTTTCAAAAAGCAAATAGGAGCTTTATTATATGCAGACGATTTATTATTATTATCTGACAACCAGCTAGCTCTGCAACAAAAACTTGATATGTTATACAAATATTGTAAAGAATGGTGTTTGGAAATCAATGTTAACAAAACAAAAGTAATTATTTTCAACAGAAGTGGGCATTTATTAAAAGAAACATTTTCAATTAATGGTATTAATATAGAATGTGTTAAAACGTATAAATACCTAGGTATAATACTCTCAAATTCTGGTTCTTTCAAAGAAGCAAGGTGTAATTTATATAACAAAGCTTTAAAGTCATCATTTAAAATATACAAAGATATAAAATCGACAGATCCACCCATTAATACTTTACTTCATCTATTTGATCACATGATCAAGCCAATAGCTACCTATGGATCCGAAATATGGGGTGTATTGTCATCATCAATGCAAAGAAAAGAAAAATGTTTATTTGATATATTTAAAGATTGGGAGATTGAAAATCTTCATATGAAATTTTGCAAATTTATCATAGGTTCAGGGAAAAGAAGTATACCAATATTGCAGTTCTATCTGAACTGGGTAGACAACCAATATTTTATTCTATTATTATAGCAAGTATATCTTACTGGCACAGACTGGAAAACATGCCTGAAAACTCTTTGTTATACAGTGCATACAAAGAAAGCATTATCTTGGACAGTTGTAATGTAAATAGTTGGTTTTTCAAATGTAACATATTTCTGTAATAGAATGGGCATAGATTTGTCAAGATGTAAATCAATGAAACTAATAACTTTAAAGAAACAACTGAAAAAAATTATTAGAGAGGATTTCCTTCAATATTGGTTAAAAAAAAAGAGATGATGGTTGTCTATCGGGTAAACTTCCAACATATTTCTATATAAAAAGAAGTTTTGAAGTTGAAAAGTATTTATTATTAAAAAATTTTGAACAAAGAAA